CATTATTATTGCTGCCAGCCAAGCCTACTGTCAACTGGTACTTAAAACCAATCATAATAATAATAATACTCAAATGTACTTCGTTACTCATATTCAATTTAATTGAAATTATATAGAAAAGTTTTGATTTTTGACCCCCTTAAATCTGATACCTACTAGAATTTTCTTTTATTGTAGCGAAAATGAAATTAAAGACAAATTTTATTATTGTTATTATAAGCCATACGAGTTTGTTTATTTTGTATTTATTCATATTTAATAGTAAATTAAATGCAATTATTATTTAAAATATTTATTTTGGTTACTTTTGGTTTATTTATTTATTTTTTATGTTGCATACATTTATAATAAATTATTAAAGTTTGTAATGAAATGATAATGAGATCTAAATAAATATGATTTAAATATTTATTTAGATAAAGTAAATAAGTACTAAATTAAATTGGTTTAATGCGAAAAAAAAGTCTAGAGTCTATACAGACTATTCTATAGTCTAGCCAATAGTCTAGTCTGTAGTAAATCCTGTAATCTTGGTAATACTCTAGTCAAAAGTTTAGTTTATGGTCTAGTTAATAGTCTAGTATATGGTCTAGTCTATAGTCTAGTCTATAATGTAATATATAGTCTATTCTATAGTCTAGTCTAAAGTCCAATCTATAGTCAAGTCTATGGTCTAGTCAATAGTCTAGTCTATGTCTATAATCTAGTCAAGTCTAGTCTATAGTCTAGTCTATAGTCTAGTCTATAGTCTAGTCTATAGTCTAGTCTATAGTCTAGTCTATAGTCTAGTCTATAGTCTAGTCTATAGTCTAGTCTATAGTCTAGTCTAGTAGTCTATAGTCTAGTCTATAGTCTAGTCTATAGTCTAGTCTATAGTCTAGTCTATAGTCTAGTCTATAGTCTAGTCTATAGTCTAGTCTATAGTCTAGTCTATAGTCTAGTCTATAGTCTAGTCTATAGTCTAGTCTATAGTCCTAGTCTATAGTCTAGTCTATAGTCTAGTCTATAGTCTAGTCTATAGTCTAGTCTATAGTCTAGTCTATAGTCTAGTCTATAGTCTAGTCTATAGTCTAGTCTACAGTCTAGTCTAAGTCTAGTCTAGTCTAGTCTATAGTCTAGTCTATAGTCTAGTCTATAGTCTAGTCTATAGTCTAGTCTATAGTCTAGTCTATAGTCTAGTCTATAGTCTAGTCTATAGTCTAGTCTATAGTCTAGTCTATAGTCTAGTCTATAGTCTAGTCTATAGTCTAGTCTATAGTCTAGTCTATAGTCTAGTCTATAGTCTAGTCTATAGTCTAGTCTATAGTCTAGTCTATAGTCTAGTCTATAGTCTAGTCTATAGTCTAGTCTATAGTCTAGTCTATAGTCTAGTCTATAGTCTAGTCTATAGTCTAGTCTATAGTCTAGTCTATAGTCTAGTCTATAGTCTAGTCTATTCTAGTCTAGTCTATAGTCTAGTCTAGTCTAGTCTATAGTCTAGTCTATAGTCTAGAGAATAGTCTAGTTTTTAGTATAGAGAATAGTCTAGTTTTTAGTCTAGTCTATAGTCACTTCTATAGTCTAGTCTATGGTCTAGTCTTTAGTCTAGTCTTTAGTCTAGTCTTTAGTCTAGTCTTTAGTCTAGTCTTTAGTCTAGTCTTTAGTCTAGTCTATAGTCTAGCTTATAGTCTCGTCTATAGTCTAGTCCATAGTCTAGCCCATAGTCTAGCCCATAGTATAGTCCATGGAGTAGTCCATTGTCCATTCTATAGTATAGTCTGTTGTCTAGTCTATAGTCTAGTATACAGTCTAGTTTATAGTCTTGTATACAGTCTAGTTTATAGTCTAGCAGACAGTCTAGTCTATAGTCTCAAGTATAATCTATAGACTATAGTATAGTCTTGAATATAGTTTGGACTTACTATTTGGTCTAATCTATGCCTTTATATGTAGTCTATAGTCTGGTATATAGTATTGACTATAAACATGACTATAGTCAAGACTTTAGTTTCGACGATAAACTAGAATAGAGTTTTGTTTATCATATTTAGTATTTAATACAGTTTCTGTAGAAACTAACTGGCTAACAAAAAGGTCAAAATAATAAAGTTTCTATGCTAAGAAATCTGTACGCATATCGTAATAATGGTCCTTCCAACCAAATCGTACTAATGATCCTTCAAACCAGACTTTTATTAAAGGACCTTACATTATAATGTTATAAATGTATGTTTTCTTTTGTTTATTGTTTTATTTTGTTATAATATATTATTAATAGACTTACATACTATTGTTTAAGTTAAGCATAATTTACAACACAAATTTTGTATTGAATATAGCAGAAAAAATTTTTAAAAATTATTGTTTTAAAGGTTTTGCTCAGCAACATAAAAATAACGATAATTAAGTGTAAAACTTTTCAAAAAAGTTTTGATGGTGTGGTGTGGTTTGATTTTTGGTGCACAAAAAAAATATTTCTTATATTATAATTATTAAATTCTATCGGTTTTCGCTATTTTTTTAATACGCTAAGAATTACAGAACTCTGTATTGCGCTTCTTTTGAAAAAGTAAAATGTGTTCATTTTGGATTCATGTGGCATTTAGAATTGATCGCATTATTGTTATAATAATTTTGGCAAATTAAAAAAATCAGAATATTACCAGAAATATTCTTGGTAATAATAATTATTAAACGAAAAATATTCCAAAATGGAATATGACTGATCTTGAGAGAAATAAGCGCATATATATGATCGAATAAGCTTTTGTAACAAATAGCAAATTTCGTTAGTGATTAACCAATTGCTTTAATAAATTTGTAATTCGTGTCTCTGTTGTAATAATAAGCTTTGTAATAAATATTAGTATTTTTTTTTGTATAAATGCTTAACATTTATAAATTTTTATTATAGTAAAATCTTTTTAGTGGTGCCTAGATTGTAGAATACCAAAGCTGCTAAATGTAGAAAATTTCGATTCGAATTGAAATGCAAAATAGGAATGATTAAAAAGTTTCATATTAAAAAAATAGTTTTAAGGGAATGTCTCTTAATCGAATAAAATGTGTTTTACATAATGCACCACAACTGGAACCATTGTGGGAAACTGGTGCCAGTTCAATGTTTAGTTAGTCTATAGTCTAGTTCATAGCCTTGTTCATACTGCTAGTCCATGGTCTAGTCCAAAGTCTGGTACATCGTCTATAGTCCATTTTAAATCTAGACCATAATCTAGTAAATAATATAGTTTTTAATTTAGAAATCTAGTCTAATCTAGATTTTAGTTTATAGTCTAGTCAATAGTATAGCCTCGACTATAGTTTAGTGTATGGTACAGTTTAGTCTAATGTGTAACCTATATTCTGGTCTATAGTAATCTAGTCTGTAGTATAGTCTGTAGGCTAGACTATAGCCTAGTGGAAAGTCTAGTCGATGGTAAAGTCTATATTCAAGTATAATATATAGTCTGAACTACAGTATCCTAATCTATTCGAATGTGTACCTGTGTCTAGACTATATTCTAGTCTATAGTCTAGTCTGTAGTATAGATTATAATATAATCTAGTCTATAGTCTGGTCAATAGTCTATTATATAGTCTAGCCACTACTTTTATCTATAATATATTTTATAGTCTATAGTTTATCTATAGGTTAGTCTAATCTGTAGTCTTTACTATGATATATTCTATGGTCTATAATCTAATGATTAGTCTAGTCTTCATTCTAATCGGTAGTCTATAGTCTAGCCTAATCTAGTCTATAGTCTAGTAAATAGTCTAGACTATAGTCTAGCTTAATCTAGTCTATATTCTAGTCGATGGTTTAGTCTATATTCTAGTCTATACTCTAGTCTATAGTCTAGTCTATAGTCTAGCCTATAGTCTAGTCTATAGTCTAGTCTATAGTCTAGTCTATAGTCTAGTCTATAGTCTAGTCTATAGTTCTATAGTCTAGTCTATAGTCTAGTCTATAGTCTAGTCTATAGTCTAGTCTATAGTCTAGTCTATAGTCTAGTCTATAGTCTAGTCTATAGTCTAGTCTATAGTCTAGTCTATAGTCTAGTCTATAGTCTAGTCTATAGTCTAGTCTATAGTCTAGTCTATAGTCTAGTCTATAGTCTAGTCTATAGTCTAGTCTATAGTCTAGTCTATAGTCTAGTCTATAGTCTAGTCTATAGTCTAGTCTATAGTCTAGTCTATAGTCTAGTCTATAGTCTAGTCTATAGTCTAGTCCATAGTCTAGTCTATAGTCTAGTCTATAGTCTAGTCTATAGTCTAGTCTATAGTCTAGTCTATAGTCTAGTCTAGTCTATAGTCTAGTCTATAGTTTAGTCTTTAGTCTAGTCTATAGTCTAGTCTATAGTATAGTCTCTAGTCTAGTATATAGTCTAGTGAATAGCCTAGTCCATAATCAATAGCCAGTCTAATCTATGATCTAGAGTGTAGTCTATTCTATAGTATAGTCATTAGTTTAATCTATAGGCTTGTCTATAGTCTAGTCAATAGTCTGGTCTATATTGTAATCTATAGACTTGTTTATAGCCTAGTTAAGTCTGTAGTATAGCTTATTGTATAGTTCATAGTCTAGCCTAAAATTAATAGAATTACGTTTTCTAGTCTAGACTACAGATTGAAGTTCATGCCTTTAGATCAGTTGAGGATCAATAAATTGAAAACTTGTGTCAATTGAATTTAACAAAGCATCCATTTGTCCAATTAAAACAGGACATATTACGATTGGAATGTGTGTCAGACATGTTAATTCATTTTATTATATTTGAAAAAAAAAAAAACAATTACATACAATTTTCAGTAAAATTTATAACAAAAACTGTCTTTTACCTTGAACCCAATTATTTGCAAAACAACTTTTATGAGTAATTTTCTGTTTATTAGTTCCAATTTTATTTCTTATTATTTATTCTACATGTCATTAAACAAAAATTGTTTACCATTAAAAAATCTATTTAATCAATTTTAAATCCTAAAAACAATTTGGAAATTTTGCAATAATTACTCACTAATTTGTTTAATAACAATTAAATTTGCAAAAATAAGTCAACTAACAGGCAGGTCACACACCACAGTACGTTGCCGATATCGTTTTCATTAGTCAAATTGAAAATGTGGATGAAATACTAGGCGCTCAGAATTAGCTAGTAGATGTTGGTTACTTTATTTTTGTTTTACGGGCCGCCTTAAGACATGCTTTGAAATTATAGATAATTTAGTAATCAGCAATAACAGGGTGTAACATATTACAGTAATTATCAAGGTAAAGCCCTAAAGTATGCAGTTTATTATATACCATGATTATATTCATTGTAAAATGATCGCAAATGTGTAATTTTGAATCTTTAAATGTTTTGATAAAATTTTACTCAATTTAGTTGTAGAATTTTCAAAATTTCTTTTATAGTTTTCAATCTACTTTTGGTAAATAAATTTTATGCTCCATTCCTAAAAAGATTTTACTGTTTTTCCTTTAATTTTAAAAGTTTCTTCTTAGAAAAGTGATTTATATTAATAGTATTTTTGTTTTATGTGTTTTTTTTTATTAAGAATTTGTAACTTCATTTAATCCATTACTTATTCCGATCAAGTTATGAAGTGTAATTCTCTTGCAATTTTTATCTGGATTTTAAAAATATTTATTTTTAATGTTTTTTTTTTATATGTTCTAAGTTGTTGGAACTTTTATTTATTTCTTGTTGTTTTTAATTATTATTTTATATATTATATTGTTTTTGGTTTTTTGCATAGTTTTTCTTTTTATATAGTTTACTAATTAAACATACAAATTTAAGATTTGTTTACTAATATTTAAGTATACATATAATTAAAAATAAAAAAAATAAGAAATCACCTAAAAAAATGACTATAAATAATAAGGTATTACTAAATCAATTTCTAGAATTCGAAATTATAAGTTTGTTTTTAAAAAAAGAATTTTGCCTAAAATGAAAATCTCTCTAATGATGACAATGATAATATTAAAAATATTGATGATAGCTAATGACGTTGACAATAATAACAAAAAAAATTTAACTGCAATATTATTTAACACAAATATATGTAAAAAAAAGATAAAATAAATACTACTGTCATGAAAGAAAAAATGCGTTTTTAAATATATCTGTCTGCTTGTTGTTTAATTTTCTGGAATGGTTGTTAATGTTTTCGAGTGTGATCCATTTAAGGTGGTATTACTTTGATCATTTGTTGTGCTACCACCGCCAATACTACCATTCAGTGTTGTATTGGAACCTGTTGAAGTATTAATGCTATCGACTAAAGTCAAATCGATTTCGGGTATGGGATCACGCCAATAATTGAAATGTGAAAATTCAACCGCTGCTACCTCGTCGGGTTTAATGGGCGGAAATAGTTGATCGACAATGAAGGTCATGCTACAGTAGCTGTAAGTAAAAAAAAAAAAATAAAAATTTTTTACTTTTGTGGTTAGTTGTAGTTAGTAGCTACTTAGACTGAATAAATAATTTATACTATAATAGACTAGTACACTGCACCATAGACCTATAAAATATATCATACACTAGAGTATAGACTATTCTATTGACTAGAATATAGCGTAGACTATAGACTAGACCATAGAATAGACTATAGCCTAGACTATATAATAGACTATAGACTAGACTACTGATTATCCTATAGACTAAACTATAGACTAGACTATAGACTAGACTATAGACTAGACTATAGACTAGACTATAGACTAGACTATAGACTAGACTATAGACTAGACTATAGACTAGACTATAGACTAGACTATAGACTAGACCAGACTATAGGCTAGACTAGACTATAGACTAGACTATAGACTATAGACTAGACTAGACTAGACTACAGACTAGACTACAGACTAGACTATAGACTAGACTATAGACTAGACTATAGACTAGACTATAGACTAGACTATAGACTAGACTATAGACTAGACTATAGACTAGACTAGACTAGACTAGACTAGACTATAGACTAGACTATAGACTAGACTATAGACTAGACTATATACTAGACTAGACTATAGACTAGACTAGACTAGACTATAGACTAGACTAGACTATACACTAGACTAGACTATACACTAGACTATAGACTAGATAAGACTGTAGACTAGACTAGACTATAGACTAGACTAGACTTTAGACTAGACTAGACTACAGACTAGACTAGACTATAGACTAGACTATAGACTAGCACATAGACTAGACTAGTCTATAGATATAGACTAGCCTATATAGCACATAGACTACGCTATAGGCTAGACTATTCTATAGTCTACTCTATAGTCTAGTCTATAGTCTAGTATATAGTCTAGTCTATAGTCTAGTCAATAGTCTAGTCTATAGTCTAGTCTCTTCTATAGTCTCTACTATAGACTAGACTATAGACTAGACTATAGTCTAGTCTATAATATAGTCTATAGTCAAGTCTATAGTCTAGTCTCTTCTATAGACTCTACTATAGACTAGACTATAGACTAGTCTATAGTCTAGTCTATTGTCTAGTCTATAGTCTAGTTTAAAGTCTAGTTTATAGTCTAGTCTATAGTCTAGTCTGTAGTCTAGTCTGTAGTCTAGTCTATTCTATAGTCTATTCTGTAGTCTGGTCTATAGTCTATTCTATAATCAATTCTATACTATCTAGTCTATAGTCTAGTCTATAGTCTAGTCTATAGTCTAGTCTATAGTCTAGTCTATATTCTAGTCTATAGTATTGTCTATAGTCTAGTCTAGTCTATAGTCTAGTCTATATTCTAGTCTATAGTATTGTCTATAGTCTAGTCTATAGTCTAGTCTAAAGTCTAGTCTATAGTCTAGTCTATAGTCTAGTCTATAGTCTAGTCTATAGTCTAGTCTATAGTCTAGTCTAGTCTATAGTCTAGTCTATAGTCTAGTCTATAGTCTAGTCTATGTCTAGTCTATAGTCTAGTCTATAGTCTAGTCTATAGTCTAGTCTATAGTCTAGTCTATAGTCTATATAGTCTAGTCTATAGTCTGGTCTATAGTCTAGTCTATAGTCTAGTCTATAGTCTGGTCTATAGTCTAGTCTATAGTCTAGTCTATAGTCTAGTCTATAGTCTGGTCTATAGTCTGGTCTATAGTCTAGTCTATAGTCTAGTCTATAGTCTAGTCTATAGTCTAGTCTATAGTCTATTCTATAGTCTAGTCTATATTCTAGTCTATAGTATTGTCTATAGTCTAGTCTATAGTCTAGTCTATAGTCTAGTCTATAGTCTAGTCTATAGTCTAGTCAATAGTCTAGTCTATAGTCTAGTTCATAGTCTAGTCTATAGTCTAGTCTATAGTCTAGTCTATAGTCTAGTCAATAGTCTAGTCTATAGTCTAGTCTATAGTCTAGTCTATAGTCTAGTCTATAGTCTAGTCTATAGTCTAGTCTATAGTCTAGTCTATAGTCTAGTCTATAGTCTAGTCTATAGTCTGGTCTATAGTTAGTCTATAGGTCTGTCTCTAGTCTAAGTCTATAGTCTAGTCTATAGTCTAGCTATAGTCTAGTCTATAGTCTAGTTCTATAGTCTAGTCTATAGTCTAGTCTATAGTCTATCTATAGTCTAGTCTAGTCTAGTCTATAGTCTAGTCTATAGTCTAGTCTATAGTCTAGTCTATATCTAGTCTATAGTCTAGTCTATAGTCTAGTCTATAGTCTAGTCTATAGTCTAGTCTATAGTCTAGTCTATAGTCTAGTCTATAGTCTAGTCTATAGTCTAGTCTATAGTCTAGTCTATAGTCTAGTCTATAGTCTAGTCTATAGTCTAGTCTATAGTCTAGTCTATAGTCTAGTCTATAGTCTAGTCTATAGTCTAGTCTATCGTCTAGTCTATAGTCTAGTCTATAGTCTAGTCTATAGTCTAGTCTATAGTCTAGTCTATAGTCTAGTCTATAGTCTAGTCTATAGTCTAGTCTATAGTCTAGTCTATAGTCTAGTCTATAGTCTAGTCTATAGTCTAGTCTATAGTCTAGTCTATAGTCTAGTCTATAGTCTAGTCTATAGTCTAGTCTATAGTCTAGTCTATAGTCTAGTCTATAGTCTAGTCTATAGTCTAGTCTATAGTCTAGTCTATAGTCTAGTCTATAGTCTAGTCTATAGTCTAGTCTATAGTCTAGTCTATAGTCTAGTCTATAGTCTAGTCTATAGTCTAGTCTATAGTCTAGTCTATAGTCTAGTCTATAGTCTAGTCTATAGTCTAGTTTATAGTCTAGTCTATAGTCTAGTCTATAGTCTAGTCTATAGTCTAGTCTATAGTCTAGTCTATAGTCTAGTCTATAGTCTAGTCTATAGTCTAGTCTATAGTCTAGTCTATAGTCTAGTCTATAGTCTAGTCTATAGTCTAGTCTATAGTCTAGTCTATAGTCTAGTCCATAGTCTAGTCTATAGTCTAGTCTATAGTCTAGTCTATAGTATAGTCTATAGTCTAGTCTATAGTCTGGTCTATAGTCTATAGACTAGACTATAGACTAGACTATAGACTAGTCTATAGTCTAGTCTCTTCTATAGTCTCTACTATAGACTAGACTATAGACTAGTCTATAGTCTAGTCTATAGTCTAGTCTATAGTCTAGTTTAAAGTCTAGTTTATAGTCTAGTCTATAGTCTAGTCTGTAGTCTAGTCTGTAGTCTAGTCTATTATATAGTCTATTCTGTAGTCTGGTCTATAGTCTATTCTATAATCAATTCTATACTATCTAGTCTATAGTCTAGTCTATAGTCTAGTCTATAGTCTAGTCTATTGTCTAGTCTATAGTCTAGTCTATAGACTACTCTAGTCTATAGTCTAGTCTATAGACTACTCTAGTCTATAGTCTAGTCTACAGTCTAGTCTATAATCTAGTCTATAGTCTAGTCTATAGTCTAGTCTATAGTCTAGTCTATAGTCTAGTCTATCTATAGCCTAGTCTATAGTCTAGTCTATAGTCTAGTCTATAGTCTAGTCTATAGTCTAGTCTATAGTCTAGTCTATAGGCTAGTCTATAGTCTAGTCTATAGTCTAGTCTATAGTCTAGTCTAGTCTAGTCTATAGTCTAGTCTATAGTCTAGTCTATAGTCTAGTCTATAGTCTAGTCTATAGTCTATCTATAGTCTAGTCTATAGTCTAGTCTATAGTCTAGTCTATAGTCTAGTCTATAGTCTAGTCTATAGTCTAGTCTATAGTCTAGTCTATAGTCTAGTCTATAGTCTAGTCTATAGTCTAGTCTATAGTCTAGTCTATAGTCTATTCTGTAGTCTATTCTGTAGTCGGCACTATAGAATAGTCTATAGGCCAGACTATAGAGTAGAGTATAGACTACACAATAAAATCTTAAACTAATCATCAGTTGAAATGAAAAGAAACTGCTTCTTTGTTTCTTTAAATTTTTTTCGATGATTGCGAAACTGAAATTGGAAACTTAATCGAAATGCAGAATTAGGGTGTTATATACTGAACATAACATTAATTGAATAAACTATTTATAATAAAAAAAATGCAAACACACTAAAAGAACTACATGGAATAAGTACTTGGAAGTAAATTGCACTTTTTAACATTTAGAAGTAAGTGCAACATATTTTTAGGAGAATATTTTTTTATTTATGTAGCCTACTTTTAGGCGCCCAGAGGGTGCAAAATCACTATCGAAAATATTTTATCTAAAAACGACATATCGACACATTTTCTGTTCAATTAAATAAACCCTTTTTAAGATTTAATGTAGAAATATCGAAACAATTTGCTTTGGTTAAAGTCTACTTTTAGGCATAAACGAATAATAATAACACATTTCGAGTATAGCATATGTTTAGGATCTAAAAATAATTCGATTTTAATGCCTAGTTGAGGTTAACAAGGGCACTTGTATGTTTCAAATAAAAATAGAAAACATTACAACAGATTTTATACAATAATATATATTATACATAAAAATTGGCACAAAAACGTAATCTATATTAGTAAAAATTTCTTTACAACACATACATAATTAACTATACATACAGTTTTTTCATTTGTACTTATACGAAATAAAACCAAACAACACAATTTTGTATATTTTATTTGCCAAATATGAAATTAAAATAGTTTTCATTTATTTTTGTTTTTGCTTAATGACAAAAAAATATATACATATATAAAGAATTTAAGATAATTTTTAAAATTTCATCACATTTATTTTTTGTTAAATTATATTCAACTAAAGAAATATGGATTTACAAATTTAATATAAAACAAAAAAAGGTACTAAATGTAACGCCTTTTTTTATAAGGATTAACAATATTATAAAACTTAAAAGATTAAATAACTAAAAGTATAGTATGGATAGATTTTATAATTTTTTTTTTATAAAGATAACAATAACAATACTTTTTCTTTACTTAAAACTAAATAATAGATTTTTTAGTTGTTATAACATTAGAATAATGTTCTAAACACACACAACTATTTAATAGCTTAAATACACTTCAAAAAATATATGTAGTTTTTAAATTGTTTTGTTAATTTAAATGTAAAAAAAGCAATTCCATTGCATACAAATAACCAGGTAATAAATATCACAATTTAGTTGTCGAAAAAAGAAACACACTAGATATAAATATGTAGGTACATTATAATAAAAATGTACAAATTTCTTAGTTTTGTTCATAATTTGCTCGTTTTATCTCGTATTTAGCCTCAATTGACATAGAGTGAGGTATTGATAGGCACAGCTGCTGTAACGGGCGTTGTATTGCCATCATTTCCAATGGGGGTTTGTGAATTAACCGATGCTGTAAGACTTAATGATTCTGATACATCTACGACTATACCATCATCTTGATCGTCAGCATATTCATCACTGAAAATTTCATCATCACTTTCGGTATCACTAAATTTGAGTTCCTCCTCCTCTTCATCGTCATCGAAAATGTCCGTTTTATAATCGTAATCATCATTGTCCAATAAAGGAAAATGTTCATCTACTTCTAGTGATTGATTGATATAACCACTATAGATGTTGTGATGATTGTGTTGGGTTTAAACAAAAGAATTTTGAAAAAATAAAATAGGTACAAGATTTTTTTTGAGTTTATTTCTTTCGAAAAAAAAAAAATGGGGAAAACAAAATCTTAACAAATAGGAAATAACAAAAAAAAAGTTTAATGGAAATTAAATGTTTAAGGTGAAGTAAATCTTAATGGGAGCTTTAGTCGAGGCTAGATTATAGACTAGAACATAGACCAGAATGTAGGCTAGACTATAGATCAGACTATAGACGAGAATATAGACTACACTATTGACTAGACTATGGACTAAACTATAGACTAGGCTATGGGCTAGATTATAGAATAGACTACATACTAGGCTACAGACTAGACTATAGACTAGAAAATACCATAGACTTTACTTTAGACTGGGCTACAGATTAGATCACAGACCAATCCACAAAACAGACTAAACTATAGACTACAAACTAGACAAAAGACTCGACTAGTCTACAGTCTGTAGGCTGTAGACTACATTAAATACTAAACAATAGACTAGACTATATAATAAACTATAAACTAGACTATAGACTAGATTATAGTTTAGACTTTAGACTAGACTATATAGACTAGACTATAGACTAGACTATAGACTAGACTATAGACTAGACTATAGACTAGACTATAGACTAGACTATAGACTAGACTATAGACTAGACTATAGACTAGACTATAGACTAGACTATAGACTATACTATAGACTAGACTATAGACTAGACTATAGACTAGACTATAGACTAGACTATAGACTATACTATAGACTAGACTATAGACTAGACTATAGACTAGACTATAGACTAGACTATAGACTATACTATAGACTAGACTATAGACTAGACTATAGACTAGACTATAGACTAGACTATACTAGACTATAGACTAGACTATAGACTAGACTATAGACTAGACTATAGACTAGACTATAGACTAGACTATAGACTAGACTATAGACTAGACTATAGACTAGACTATAGACTAGACTATAGACTAGACTATAGACTAGACTATAGACTAGACTATAGACTAGACTATAGACTAGACTATAGACTAGACTATAGACTAGACTATAGACTAGACTATAGACTAGACTATAGACTAGACTATAGACTAGACTATAGACTAGACTATAGACTAGACTATAGACTAGACTATAGACTAGACTATAGACTAGACTATAGACTAGACTATAGACTAGACTATAGACTAGACTATAGACTAGACTATAGACTAGACTATAGACTAGACTATAGACTAGACTATAGACTAGACTATAGACTAGACTATAGACTAGACTATAGACTAGACTATAGACTAGACTATAGACTAGACTATAGACTAGACTATAGACTAGACTATAGACTAGACTATAGACTAGACTATAGACTAGACTATAGACTAGACTATAGACTAGACTATAGACTAGACTATAGACTATAGACTAGACTATAGACTAGACTATAGACTAGACTATAGACTAGACTATAGACTAGACTATAGACTAGACTATAGACTAGACTATAGACTAGACTATAGACTAGACTATAGACTAGACTACAGACTAGACTATAGACTAGACTACAGACTAGACTATAGACTAGACTATAGACTAGACTATAGACTAGACTGTAAACTATAGTCTCTAGACTAAGAACTATATAATAGGATAGACTATTCTATAAACTAGAGGGGACAATAGGTCACTCGATATGCTGGACTATATGCTAGACTATAGACTGGATTAAAGACTACACTATAGACTAGAATAAAGACTAAACTATAGACATTCTAAAAGACAGACTGTAGACTAAACTATTGACTAGACTATAGGCTGGGCTATAGGCTACACCATAGGCTGGACTATAGACTATAATATATACTAGACTATAGACTAGGCTATTAAATAGAATATAAACTAGGTAATATACTAGGCTATGAAGCGGGCTATAAACATTGATGTAACTTTCCAAACTTTCCAAGCTTTATTTCATCCTTAACTTTTAAAATCCATTAAACGTTTTTCAAATAACAAAAAAGCTTAATAACTAAAATGCAATTGTTTTCAGTTTGATTGTAAAGGATAAAGAAAGAGTTCAACAATTTGTTTATGATTATTACATACAAAGAATTTAAATGATTTAATTTGTTTCTATAAGTTATTCATAAGTTAAAACATACTGTAATTGATAATATTTTTTTAATATAGATTACGTTTTCATAATTGCCAATTAATAAAATAATGTATTTGTATAAATAAGTAGTGAGTTTTAATGGAAAAATGTAAAATGAGTTTCTTATCGTTTCAATTTGAACTTTTAAAATATGTATATTAATGTTGTTATTAAAAATAAACATACACCTCTTGCCATTTGTTTTATTAATAGGGGTTTTGTGTTTTCTGGGATTAAAAATTGTTCGGTGATATTTAGCTATACAAGTGATACGGTTTAATGCACAATACACCATTAACTATTCGATTTTTAATACAAATACTCGCAACATTAATCAATGAAGAGATATGTTTAGCTTAGTTTATCAGGGTAAAATAATAAAAAAGAGATAAAACAAATTGGTACTTACGAAGATTGGAATGTTTGTGTTAATTCATGTTTCAATTCTCCTTTAGTGTTAATGGTGAATATGCGTTTAATGGGTATACCAACGGCACGATAAGCCCAAACATCCTGTAAAAGAAGAATATTTGCAGGTAATGTATTACTAACTCAAAATTAGTTACTAGCTTTACTTTTAATACTTTTAAATTAGTTTTTAGTTTTCTATAAATTTTCTTAATAATAAATTTATTACTTACATTGATACGATTACCATAACCCGCATAGAATGGATCCTTATTAGGGAATAAATCTCTAATATCCGATAAACAGGCAATCTTAAATTGTTCCGGTTTACGTTCAATTACCTCACGATGGAATGCCGATATCAATGATGTAGGATTTAATAATAATGGACCATCGGGTAGTTTAACATCACCCTGGCGAATGGAACGTAAATATTCACGTGTTGCTCTTGACTGCCCAATAGCACGTGCCGATAAATACAATAGCTTGTAGCCATTTTGTTCAATTTTCGAGAATAGTTGAGCGACACCCAATTGAGCCCAATCCTTACCGACCATCGGTAGAATATGTCCCAAGACATCGGATTTGGTGATGGTACCATCGATGTCGGAAATTACAACTTTATCATTGTGTTTCCAGCGGAATAAGTAGCATTTGCAGCGTGTGGTACCTTGGTAGGCGGTGGTAACACTAAATTCTATTTCGTTCATGCCCTCTTTAAGGTTGAGTTTTTTCTGCAAAGGAAAGAGGAAAGAGAAGGGATTTTTATTTTTGATCGATAGATAGATAGATAGATAGATAGATAGATAGATAGATAGATAGATAGATAGATAGATCGATAGATCGATAGATAGATAGATAGATAGATAGATAGATAGATAGATAGATAGATAGATAGATAGATAGATAGATAGATAGATAGATAGATAGATAGATAGATAGATAGATAGATAGATAGATAGATAGATAGATAGATAGATAGATAGATAGATAGATAGATAGATAGATAGATAGATAGATAGATAGATAGATAGATAGATAGATAGATAGATAGATAGATAGATAGATAGATAGATAGATAGATAGATAGATAGATAGATAGATAGATAGATAGATAGATAGTTCAGTTCAGTTCCAGCTCAGTTCTAGTTCAATTCCAGTTCAGTTCTAGTTCTAGTTCAGTTCTAGTTCAGTTCTAGTTCAGTTCTAGTTCAGTTCTAGTTCAGTTCTAGTTCAGTTCTACTTCAGTTCTAGTTCAGTTCTAGTTCTGTTCTAGTTCAGTTCTAGTTCAGATCTAGTTCAGTTCTAGTTCAGTTCTAGTTCAGTTCTAGTTCAGTTCTAGTTCAGTTCTAGTTCAGTTCTAATTCAGTTCTAGTTCAGTTCTAGTTCAGTTCTAGTTCAGTTCTAGTTCAGTTCTAGTTCAGTTCTAGTTCAGTTCTAGTTCAGTTCTAGTTCAGTTCTAGTTCAGTTCTAGTTCAGTTCTAGTTCAGTTCTAGTTCAGTTCTAGTTCAGTTCTAGTTCAGTTCTAGTTCAGTTCTAGTTCAGTTCTAGTTCAGTTCTAATTCAGTTCTAGTACAGTTCTAGTTCAGTTCTAGTTCAGTTCTAGTTCAGTTCTAGTTCAGTTCTAGTTCAGTTCTAGTTCAGTTCTAGTTCAGTTCTAGTTCAGTTCTAGTTCAGTTCTAGTTCAGTTCTAGTTCAGTTCTAGTTCAGTTCTAGTTCAGTTCTAGTTCAGTTCTAGTTCAGTTCTAGTTCAGTTCTAGTTCAGTTCTAGTTCAGTTCTAGTTCAGTTCTAGTTCAGTTCAGTTCTAGTTCAGTTCTAGTTCAGTTCTAGTTCAGTTCTAGTTCAGTTCTAGTTCAGTTCTAGTTCAGTTCTAGTTCAGTTCAGTTCTAGTTCAGTTCTAGTTCAGTTCTAGTTCACTTCTAGTTCAGTTCTAGTTTAGTTCTAGTTCAGTACTACTTCAATTCTAGTTCAGTTCCAGTTAGTTAAACAAATAAACAGATATATAAATTTATCTCTTTTCCAACTTACAATAGACTCTGAACTTAAACGCAATGACTTCTTATAACGTTCCAATTTATTTTTATTATCTGACGATTCACTCTTCGACGAGGCCTGTGATAAATCTTCCATATTATCCATAAGGGCCGATGTATTTTCTGCATTCATAGTAGAATCAGTTTTACTTAAAGTACGATCACTAATATCGGGAGAATTGGGACGTGTTGTCTGGGTAGCTACAGCATTTTGATCATTTTCTAAAAGGAAACAAAACAAACGAAAATTAAAAACTAGATTTATAAAACTTAACACAAATCCTATAACATACCTTTTTCTTCTTGTTTCTCATCTAGTTTACCAGTCTTTGAGGCATTGTTGACAACACTAGCGGTGTTGTTGACATTTTGTGAACGTCTCCAGTACCACCAAGAACGTTTGGCTTGATTTTGGGTACCAGTAGGAGTGCCACCATCAACTTCAGCCTTATTAACAGCGGCCGCAGCAGCTACTGCATCTTGTTTAGCATTAACCATTAACTGGTCAACTGCATCCTTTATATTTGTTTTAAAAAATAAATTTTATTAATTTTGTTTAATAAAGTTTTATAAAATTATTTAATATTATTAGTTTTTTTTAAGCTTTTTTGATGATATTATTTTTATATGTTGGTGTATGAAAGACGACAGAGTGTGTGTGTGTGTATTTGTGTACTTCTTTTCCTTTTGAAAAATAGTTTACAACAAGACAAAACAAACTTACATTAGTTAAAGGCTTCTGGAATGTTATTATGGTCATGACAATTGGACATGCAGCCGCCCAGCTGTAGTATTTACCATTTAGGCGTACAACTAAATTAGGCGATGAGAAGATGCTGGGATTTTCACAGACCTAAGACATTGTACATAATAAGTGATGATTATAGTAGTAGAGTTGTTGTTGTTTTGTTCAAATGTTTTAAGTGTAATTAAGTTAATTATAATATTAATTGTTTTCATATGATTTTGTTGTTTTTAAGGAAACTAAGGCAGGTTATTAGTAAGTGTAACCAAAAAAGATATATTTTAATTAATAAGTTGGTATTATAAATTATTGTTTTTATTTGAAATTGATTTTAGTTTTATTTTATATTTGCTCGCAATCCCATTTTGAATTATCTTCATAAATTTTAATTGATAATAAAGATTTTTAAGTGAAATAAAACTTTTCAACTGTGTTCCTTACAAACGTTTTTTTTTAGTTCAAAATTATATAGTTCAGTTCTAGTTAAGTTATAGTTCTAGTTCAGTTCTAATTAAGTTCTAGTTCAGTTCTAGTTCAGTTCTAGTTCCAGTTCAGTTCTAGTTCAGTTCTAGTTCAGTTCTAGTTCAGTTCTAGTTCAGTTCTAGTTCAGTTCTAGTTCAGTTCTAGTTCAGTTCTAGTTCAGTTCTAGTTCAGTTCTAGTTCAGTTCTAGTTCAGTTCTAGTTCAGTTCTAGTTCAGTTCTAGTTCAGTTCTAGTTCAGTTCTACTTCAGTTCTAGTTCAGTTCTAGTTCAGTTCTAGTTCAGTTCTAGTTCAGTTCTAGTTCAGTTCTAGTTCAGTTCTAGTTCAGTTCTAGTTCAGTTCTAGTTCAGTTCTAGTTCAGTTTTAGTTCAGTTCTAGTTCAATTCTAGTTCAGTTCTAGTTCAGTTCTAGTTCAGTTCTAGTTCAGTTCTAGTTAAGTTCTAGTTAAGTTCTAGTTAAGTTCTAGTTAAGTTCCAGTTAAGTTCTAGTTAAGTTCTAGTTCAGTTCTAGTTCAGATCCAGTTCAGTTCCAGTTCAGTTCCAGTTCAGTTCTAGTTCAGTTCCAGTTCAGTTCTAGTTCAGTTCTAGTTCAATTCTAGTTCAGCTCTAGTTCAGTTCTAGTTCAGTTCTGGTTCAGTTCTAGTTAAGTTCTAGTTAAGTTCTAGTTAAGTTCTAGTTAAGTTCTAGTTCAGTTCTAGTTCAGTTCTAGTTCAGTTCTAGTTAAGTTCTAGTTAAGTTCTAGTTCAGGTCTAGTTCAGTTCTAGTTCTAGTTCAGTTCTAGTTCAGTTCTAGTTCAGATCTAGTTCATTTCTAGTTCAGTTCTAGTTCAGTTCTAGTTCAGTTCTAGTTCAGTTCTAGTTCAGTTCTAGTTCAGTTCTAGTTCAGTTCTAGTTCAGTTCTAGTTCAGTTCTAGTTCAGTTCTAGTTCAGTTCTAGTTCAGTTCTAGTTCAGTTCTAGTTCAGTTCTAGTTCAGTTCTAGTTCAGTTCTAGTTCAGTTCTAGTTCAGTTCTAGTGCTAGTTCAGTTATAGTTCTAGTTCAGTTCTAGTTCAGTTCTAGTTCAGTTCTAGTTCAGTTTTGGTTCAATTCTAGTTCAGTTCTAGTTCAGTTCTAGTTCAGTTCTAGTTCAGTTCTTGTTCAGTTTTTAGTTCAGTTCTAGTTCAGTTCTAGTTCAGTTCTAGTTCAGTTCTAGTTCAGTTCTAGTTCAGTTCTGTTCAGTTAGTTCAGTTCTAGTTCAGTTCTAGTTCAATTCTAGTTCAGTTCTAGTTCAGTTCTAGTTCAGTTCTAGTTCAGTTCTAGTTCAGTTCTAGTTCAGTTCTAGTTCAGTTCTAGTTCAGTTCTAGTTCAGTTCTAGTTCAGTTCTAGTTCAGTTCTAGTTCAGTTCTAGTTCAGTTCTAGTTCAGTTCTAGTTCAGTTCTAGTTCAGTTCTAGTTCAGTTCTAGTTCAATTCTAGTTCAGTTCTAGTTCAGTTCTAGTTCAGTTCTAGTTCAGTTCTAGTTCAGTTCTAGTTCAGTTCTAGTTCAGTTCTAGTTCAGTTCTAGTTCAGTTCTAGTTCAGTTCTAGTTCAGTTCTAGTTCAGTTCTAGTTCAGTTCTAGTTCAGTTCTAGTTCAGTTCTAGTTCAGTTCTAGTTCAGTTCTAGTTCAGTTCTAGTTCAGTTCTAGTTCAGTTCTAGTTCAGTTCTAGTTCAGTTCTAGTTCAGTTCTAGTTCAGTTCTAGTTCAGTTCTAGTTCAGTTCTAGTTAGTTCTAGTTAGTTCTAGTTCAGTTCTAGTTTAGTTCTAGTTCAGTTCTAGTTCAGTTCTAGTTAGTTCTAGTTAGTTCTAGTTCAGTTCTAGTTCAGTTCTAGTTCAGTTCTAGTTCAGTTCTAGTACAGTTCTAATTTGTATGTTATTTTGGCAAAAACAATTAACATAAAGTAAAGCAAAAATGAATTGAGACAAAAATTTTTGAAAATTATATTTTAAAAACTAAAATGTAAAAATTTTCTAAAATTTTGTTAATTTTTTTTTAAAACCTTAAAAAAGGACTTTTTTGAAAATATTAACATAAAATGAAAAGCACATAAAATAAAGCGAAAATAAAAAATTTAAAAGCAGAGTGTAAACAGTGTTTTACTTTGTAAAGAAAAATACAGTGATAGCAAATAATAAATAACATGCCATTAGTATTTTAAGCAGAAAAAGAAAACAAAACTAATATGAGAAATGCTTTATAAAACGCTTTATAAAAATTAGGTTAATAAAAAACTTACATCTTTATATTTAATGCAGTGGCGTTCAAATTCCTCATCCGAAGGATCGCCTTTTTCCTGAAGACCACACAAGGACATGGCCACGAAATCTAAGTATCTAATAAAACATGTATGGAGTAATTAAAGTAATTGCAATGTTAGCTTAAGGAGGTATAAACTTACTTGCCCTCTTGCAGTTTGCCATCTTCATAATCAGAATCTAAACTTTTCTGACCCTCCAAAGAACTGGGCGAATGCGGCAAGGAGGTGCCATTACCACTCTCACGATCATCCTCATTGCAGTGTAGAGCAGGTATGGCTGGTGAAGTTTCTTTGGAAGAAGCTGAGGGGAAATACATGGCCATCATTTCCGGATCCATGGTTTCGGTATCCAAATCCGATAAATAGACACCACCATCTGTGGCATTTTTACGCAATTTATTATTATTTTTCATGAAATTGAACATATTGCTAAGCATTGAATTGCGCTTAGCCTGGGCCTGGGCAGCCTGATTGTCCGACTGATCTTTGGGCTCGGGTGTGGGTAATTCACCCCATTTCCAGGAGGCTGAGTTAGACATTAAATCACTATCGGTTTCTTTTTCACGCATGGAAATCTCCAATTCACTATCACTTTGTATGGGTGTAGAAGGGCGGCCAGCACCACGTCCAGCACCCAAGGGACCATTACCACCCGATGAGGTAACTTCAGTATCCGAAAAGAAATGTATATCCAAATCGGGTATACGTGTTGTGCTGGGTGTAACCGGCGACGTTTGACAAGTCTCCGAAATGGGACTTTCATCACCGCCCATGGCGGTTACCAAACCAGCTGAAACTTGTTCACCCGATTTGGGTGAGGCTTCATCATTCGATGAATTGGTGGTATTATTTGAGATCGATATAGAACTAGTATCAGCATCTTCGGCCTGTTTGTTGTTGTCATCGTTTGTGACGCCATTATCTTGGGGCGTATTACTGCCCACCGAACTACTGGAAGAGGATTTACGTTGGGCATTTTTCTTTTTCATTTGTGACTTCTTGCGGCGTTTCTTTTTACTCTTTGATTCATCCTTAATGCTGTTGTTATTAGAATTGATTAAATCTAATGGTTGCTGCTGCTGATTAGCTGCGCTAGTAATGGAAATGGAGGGTGGTGGTGTTTTAGTTTGTTCGGGAGTTTGGGGTGTTAGGGTGGTATCTATGTTTGTTGTTGATTGATTAGTAGTTTCCGGTAATATAGTTGTGTCTTCTTTGGCAACAAATTCTATAGGTTTATCTTCAGTTTGAGTGCTATTACTCCAGTCCTGGAAAATTTTTAAGGAAATAGTTAAATTATATGTAAATTATATTCATAACAGGTTAAGTTATACCTTATCTTTATCTAATGCATCAAATTGAAAGATTTCTTCATGTTCTGCCCATTCTTGTCTTAATTTTTGAGTGGTATACTCATTAATTTTCTTGCTCAAATTGGGTCTTTCCAAGACATTATCAGTATGTCTGCAAAAAATATGAAATTATTGAAAATTGAACTTTTAACTTAGAGTGTTTTGCTTATATAACATTAACCGCACAAACATTTATTTTATTTTAAACAATTAAACATGCTGTAGATAAATTAAATAAAAAAAATAAAATGCTAAATTTTTACATTTCATGTTTTTTTTACTACCTTCTGTGACTGTAATCAGAAACTTGATTTTCAAATTTATCTGAGGTTTCATCTTCCTTCGGGGACTCCTTGGAAAAATCTATGGAATTACGTCTAGGCAATGGTAATGGCAACTGTAGTTCATCACTAGCTTTTCTAGTTTGTTAAAATGATGAATTTGAAAATAAATAAATAAAAAAAATATTCAAATAAAATAATAATTAAACCAAAAAAAATTAAAAAAAAAAAAATCATTTCATTTCAACTACTAATTATATTAATCATACAAAATTTCTTTATTTAACAATCTAATTTTCAATAAAAAAAAGATTAAAATTAATAAAAGAAAAAAATTATTTAAAATTGTGATTATGAAAATGTGGTGTTATGTGTTTAAAGTTCAAAGTGCTACTAAAACATCGAACAATTATTATTATTTGAATAATATTATTAAAAGAAAACAAGCCAAAGTACTAAATTCACAAAAAAAAAAAACTTAATAACTACACCCTCCTTTATTAAAAAGAAAACAATTGTTTTTTATCTTTAAAGTTATAAATGACATAATTTTTAATAAAAAAAATAACACGTACTCTTAGTACAATATTACAATTATTGTGTATAAAGTACTCTACCAACAACAAAAAGTACTTCCAGAAAGTTCTATTTATAAAACAACAATTTTTTAATTATTCCCGTTTTGTTTCAATTGTTTAATTTAAATTAATTTTTAAAGGAGGGCATATAAAAAATATTGCAACCTCTACTAATATGTGCCGCATTTTTTTTGATTTTAAAATAATTTAAAATCTTGTGTGAACAACTACATTTTGAAATTGATTATAAAAACTATTTGTTTAAATTAAACAAACTTACTTTTCTTTGTTCTCATTATCATTTTCAATCTTATTGCTGTTTAAATATTTTTCAGGAAAATGATTTGATGGTATTGGCGATGTGGCCAAGTTATCGGGTAATTCTTCAACATCTTCTTCGGGGCATTCTTCTACAAAAAAAGCTTCACCAGATTCTCCCAATTTCATGTGAATATCTACGGGTTCTCCATTGATTTCAATGTCCACCTAAAACAGAAATGGAATTACAAGATTAAACAATGATATTTTCTTTTGCATTCTTCCTAGCAGTTTTAGTTCCATTCTAATTAAGTTCTAGTTCAATTCTAGTTCAGTTCTAGTTCAAGTTCTAGTTCAGTTCTAGTTCAGTTCTAGTTCAGTTCTAGTTCAGTTCTAGTTCAGTTCTAGTTCAGTTCTAGTTAACTTCTAGTTCAGTTCTAGTTCAGTTCTAGTTCAGTTCTAGTTCAGTTCTAGTTCAGTTCTAGTTCAGTTCTAGTTCAGTTCTAGTTCAGTTCTAGTTCAGTTCAGTTCTAGTTCAGTTCCAGTTCAGTTCTAGTTCAGTTCTAGTTCAGTTCTAGTTCAGTACTAGTTCAATTCTAGTTCAGTTCTAGTTCAGTTCTACTTCAGTTCTAGTTCAGTTCTAGTTCAGTTCTAGGTAAGCTCTAGTTCAGTTCTAGTCAGTTCTAGTTCAGTTCTAGTTCAGTTCTAGTTCAGTTCTAGTTCAGTTCTAGTTCAGTTCTAGTTCAGTTCTAGTTCAGTTCTAGTTCAGTTCTAGTTCAGTTCTAGTTCAGTTCTAGTTCAGTTCTAGTTCAGTTCTAGTTCAGTTCTAGTTCAGTTCTAGTTCAGTTCTAGTTCTAGTTCAGTTCTAGTTCAGTTCTAGTTCAGTTCTAGTTCAGTTCTAGTTCAGTTCTAGTTCGGTTGTAGTAGTTCTAGTTCAGTTCTAGTTCAGTTTAGTTCAGTTCTAGTTCAGTTCTAGTTCAGTTCTAGTTCAGTTCTAGTTCAGTTCTAGTTCAGTTCTAGTTCAGTTCTAGTTCAGTTTAGTCAGTTCTAGTTCAGTTCTAGTTCAGTTCTAGTTCAGTTCTAGTCAGTTCTAGTTCAGTTCTAGTTCAGTTCTAGTTCAGTTAGTAGTTCAGTTCTAGTTCAGTTCTAGTTCAGTTCTAGTTCAGTTCTAGTTCAGTTCTAGTTCAGTTTTAGTTCAGTTCTAGTTCAGTTATAGTTCAGTTCTAGTTCAGTTCTTAGTTCAGTTTCTAGTTCAGTTCTAGTTCAGTTCTAGTCGTCTAGTTCAGTTCTAGTTCAGTTCTAGTTCAGTTCTAGTTCAGTTCTAGTTAAGTTCTAGTCAGTTCTAGTCAGTTCTAGTTCAGTTCTAGTTCAGTTCTAGTTCAGTTCTAGTTCAGTTCTAGTTCAGTTCTAGTTCAGTTCTAGTTCAGTTCTAGTCAGTTCTAGTTCAGTTCTAGTTCAGTTCTAGTTCAGTTCTAGTTCAGTTCTAGTTCAGTTCTAGTTCAGTTCTAGTTCAGTTCTAGTTCAGTTCTAGTTCAGTTCTAGTTCAGTTATAGTTCAGTTCTAGGTTCAGTTCTTAGTTCAGTTTAGTTCAGTTCTAGTTCAGTTCTAGTTCAGTTCTAGTTCAGTTCTAGTTCAGTTATAGTTCAGTTCTAGTTCAGTTCTAGTTCAGTTTCTAGTTCAGTTCTAGTTTCAGTTCTAGTTCAGTTCTAGTTCAGTTCTAGTTCAGTTCTAGTTCAGTTCTAGTTCAGTTCTAGTTCAGTTCTAGTTCAGTTCTAGTTCAGTTCTAGTTCAGTTCTAGTTCAGTTCTAGTTCAGTTCTAGTTCAGTTCTAGTTCAGTTCTAGTTCAGTTCTAGTTCAATTCTAGTTCAGTTCTAGTTCAGTTCTAGTTCAGTTCTAGTTCAGTTCTAGTTCAGTTCTAGTTCAGTTCTAGTTCAGTTCTAGTTCAGTTCTAGTTCAGTTCTAGTTCAGTGCTAGTTCAGTTCTAGTTCAATTCTAGTTCAGTTCTAGTTTAGTTCTTGACCTATTCTATCCAATTTGAGTTTAGTTCTTGTCCAGATCTAGCTCAGTTCGAGTTCAGTTTTAGTTCAGATCTAGTTGAGTTTAAATTCAGTTCTAGTTAAGTTCAAAAACAGTTCTATATCACTTCTACATCAATTCTAAGTATTTCAGTTCTAGTTCATCTGAATAACAGAGTCCTAAACTATACAATAAAATGGAATATTGTTAAAAAAAAAAGAAATTTCATATTTGGCATTGCAATTGATTTTTGAAATATCAATTTAGCTATCAGTAAATAAAATATTGAGACAAGATTCAGGTTCTTTTCCATTTGACGTATGTACAAGTACAAGAAAACAAAAATAGCTACGGTTTAATAAGCTTATCACATAATTAAAGATTAAAAATAATTCCAATTACATACATACAAATATTCTATTAATAAAAAATCTATGAACTTTAATCTATGACTGTTTCTTCAACCTTTAACTATTAATCATTCCAAATTATTATTATATATTGTAAACTAAATATACTTACCACTTTCTCACGACTCCTTAGAACACCCAATTTACCGAAACGTACATGAAATGGTGAACATTGGAATTCACCATCTGGCTGTTCTACCACAATCACATCAATGGCCCCCGTTAATGTGGCTCCATTGATTTCACTATAGAATTCTCGAAAATTACTGAAAACTTTCACTAAACTATTCATTTTGAAATTCGCGAATAATTTGTTATTCCTCCAAAAAACAAAAGTGTTTCTGGTTACTTGGCTAAGTTGTTTGTGGACTGTTTGCTGGACAGTCAATTAGAGAATGAATAGCAAGCACACTACAATGGATTTTGTTAGTAGTATTAAAAATATATATCAGCCCGTTTTGTTGTTGTTCTTTTTATTTGCGATTTTCCTGGTTATCAGTTTAAATGACGGTAACTGTTATATTTTTTTGTTTAATTGTATTTTGTTGAAAAAAATTCGATTCTTTACTTTTTATATTATACAACGTTGGCGTAGCCGTTGTTGTTTGTGTAGAAATTCCTTATTCTGTGTTCAAATTTTCTTTTATGATCGGGACAGGGGTAAAGGGTGGTTTATAACCTATTCAATTGTTGCTGTTATTGGTTTTTCTTTAAAGAAAGTTTTTATTTCTTGGCCATTTTATTGTGTGTGTGTGTGCTGTGAGGTTTTATTTGCCTTCTGAAGCGCCTTCTTTATTCAAACAAATGTTAACAGGTTATCAGCAAATTGATTAATATTATTTTTTTATTATTATTTTGCCCAGTCAGTTGAGTTATCTGCAATTGAAAAAAATGTTAAAGAAATAAATAGAGTAATAATACACATAAATCATAAAATAATTAGCCGAATTGATAAAATTCTTTCGTATATTTGCCATTTCGGTTTAGATGATGTAAATCTGCTATCAAATAACTATGTATTTTATGACTCTGGCAGCGTTAGATATAAATTCTTAAGGCTTTATGAGTCATTTGTGAGTTTTTTTAGTTAAGTTTTAGTTTACTTCTAGTTTAGTTCTAGTTTAAGCTCTAGTTCAGTTCTAATTCAGTTCTAGTTTAGTTCTAGTTTAAGCTCTAGTTCAGTTCTAATTCAGTTCTAGTTTAGTTCTAGTTTAGTTCTAGTTCAGTTCTAGTTCAGTTCTAGTTCAGTTCTAGTTCAGTTCTAGTTCATTTCTAGTTCAGTTCTAGTTCAGTTCTAGTTCAGTTCTAGTTAAGTTCTAGTTCAGTTCTAGTTCAGTTCTAGTTCAGTTCTAGTTCATTTAGTTCAATTCTAGTTCAGTTCTAGTTCAGTTCTAGTTCAGTTCTAGTTCAGTTCTAGTTCAGTTCTAGTTCAGATCTAGTTCAGTTCTAGTTCAGTTCTAGTTCAGTTCTAGTTCAGTTTCTAGTTACAGTTCTAGTTCAGTTCTAGTTCAGTTCTAGTTCAGTTCTAGTTCAGTTCTAGTTCAAGTTCTAGTTCAGTTCTAGTTCAGTTCTACTTCAGTTCTAGTTCAGTTCTAGTTCAGTTCTAGTTCAGTTCTAGTTCAGTTCTAGTTCAGTTCTAGTTCAGTTCTAGTTCAGTTCTAGTTCAGTTCTAGTACAGTTCTAGTTCAGTCTAGTTCAGTTCTAGTCAGTTCTAGTTCAGTTCTAGTCAGTTCTAGTTCAGTTCTAGTTCAGTTCTAGTTCAGTTCTAGTTCAGTTCTAGTTCAGTTCTAGTTCAGTTCTAGTTCAGTTCAGTTCTAGTTCAGTTCTAGTTCAGTTCTAGTTCAGTTCTAGTTCAGTTCTAGTTCAGTTCTAGTTCAGTTCTAGTTCAGTTCTAGTTCAGTTCTAGTTCAGTTCTAGTTCAGTTCTAGTTCAGTTCTAGTTCAGTTCTAGTTCAGTTCTAGTTCAGTTCTAGTTCAGTTCTAGTTCAGTTCTAGTTCAGTTCTAGTTCAGTTCTAGTTCAGTTCTAGTTCAGTTCTAGTTCAGTTCTAGTTCAGTTCTAGTTCAGTTCTAGTTCAGTTCTAGTTCAGTTCTAGTTCAGTTCTTAGTTCAGTTCTAGTTCAGTTCTAGTTCAGTTCTAGTTCAGTTCTAGTTCAGTTCTAGTTCAGTTCTAGTTCAGTTCTAGTTCAGTTCTAGTTCAGTTCTAGTTCAGTTCTAGTTCAGTTCTAGTTCAGTTCTAGTTCAGTTCTAGTTCTAGTTCAGTTCTAGTTCAGTTCTAGTTCAGTTCTAGTTCAGTTCTAGTTCAGTTCTAGTTCAGTTCTAGTTCAGTTCTAGTTCAGTTCTAGTTCAGTTCTAGTTCAGTTCTAGTTCAGTTCTATTTCAGTTCTATTTCAGTTCTAGTTCAGTTCTAGTTTAGTTCAGTTCTTGTTCAGTTCTAGTTCAGTTCTAGTTCAATTCTAATTCCGTTCTAGTTCAGTTCTAGTTCGGTTCTAGTTCAGTTCTAGTTCAGTTCTAGTTCAGTTCTAGTTCAGTTCTAGTTCAGTTCTAGTTCAGTTCTAGTTCAGTTCTAGTTCAGTTCTAGTTCAGTTCTAGTTCAGTTCTAGTTCAGTTCTAGTTCAGTTCTAGTTCAGTTCTAGTTCAGTTCTAGTTCAGTTCTAGTTCAGTTCTAGTTCAGTTCTAGTTCAGTTCTAGTTCAGTTCTAGTTCAGTTCTAGTTCAGTTCTAGTTCAGTTCTAGTTCAGTTCTAGTTCAGTTCTAGTTCAGTTCTAGTTCAGTTCTAGTTCAGTTCTAGTTCAGTTCTAGTTCAGTTCTAGTTCAGTTCTAGTTCAATTCTAATTCCGTTCTAGTTCAGTTCTAGTTCGGTTGTAGTTCAGTTCTAGTTCAGTTCTAATTCAGTTCTAGTTCAGTTCTAGTTCAGTTCTAGTTCAGTTCTAGTTCAGTTCTAGTTCAGTTCTAGTTCAGTTCTAGTTCAGTTCTAGTTCAGTTCTAGTTCAGTTCTAGTTCAGTTCTAGTTCAGTTCTAGTTCAGTTCTAGTTCAGTTCTAGTTCAGTTCTAGTTCAGTTCTAGTTCAGTTCTAGTTCAGTTCTAGTTCAGTTCTAGTTCAGTTCTAGTTCAGTTCTAGTTCAGTTCTAGTTCAATAAATTCAATAAATTAAAAAAAAAAACGCTTTTTTATGACTTATACTTTGATACGTTTTTTTATTTTTTTATAAAAAATAATCACGTGCCAAGCTGCCTTACACCAGCTGAACATTTTCAAATATTTATTACGTATTATTGTATTTAAAATGTTTTTGAAAATAAAAATTTATTTAACGACAAAGATTTGTGCCAAATTTGTCTAATTCTCTTTACTCTCACTTAAATTAAAAAGTCTTTTAAAGGTTATTTTGAAATGATGTCCATGTTTTATTTGACCTATTTTACACGTTTTAGTCATTAACAAATGATGAGATAATTAATATAATATATTATTTTTGTTTCTTTTTAGGTCTGAAAGAAAATTATCTGGGGAAAAGAAAATTCCCTAAATAATTTTGGGAAAATGAGATCGATTCATTACAGACTTTTAGGCGCTTTAGTAATGTGGTTATTAGAATTTTTGATCAAATTGAAAAATTTATTAAATATAGTAGAACAGTTATAACTTTTTATAATTATTTATAATAATTACAATAATTTAGTATAAAATGCATACAAATTATGATAAATTTCTCAAACAACCCACGTATTTCAACCCATGCATTTATTTTATAGTATTTTCATGAAAAGTCTAAAGGTGAATATTCTTTTATATATACAGATATCTAAAAATATGTATTTTAAATAAATTAAGCAAAAAAAAAAAGAAAAACATTTTTTGGCAATGATCATGAATGAAAAAAAGAAAAAAACAAGTAACAAAACAAATATTTACTATATTTGTTTAAATCATATGAAAATCACAAATAACAAGATTTTTCAAAATTTGAAATGGAAAATTTTCACAAAATAAAAATTACATTATTTTTCAAAAAAAAAAAAAAAAGATAAGAAGATTGATTTATTTTTAATAAAACCCTGTCCTTTTTCAAACAATATCTTTATTCATGTCTAGTAATTTTAAGACGATTATTATTTGCATGAGAATTTGTTTTTCAAATAAAATTTTACTTTCGTAAGTGAAATTTAAATGAAATACAACGTAAGTGGGTGGTGGTGGTTGCTTGAGTTATTGTTGGTTTAAACGTGCTGATTATTTATTTGAATGAATAATTGTACATGGATGCGTATTAAGAAACATCTAGTAGTTAGCAGCTATTGTTTTGAATTTGATTACGAACAAAAGGAACAATTTCAAATAGTTTTCCACAATCAATGTGTCACATAATGGGAAACCATAGGAATGAATGCAGCAAACAATTTCACAAGAAATAACATTCAACATTTTAATCCATTTGTTTACACGTGTTTTTAAAGGAAAAAATTTAAATTTAACATTCAACTTTAGTAAAATTCTGGAGGAAGTAATGTTGGAAATGTTTACTTCTTAAAGGCAGATAGATAGATAGATAGATAGATAGATAGATAGATAGATAGATAGATAGATAGATAGATAGATATATAGATAGATAGATAGATAGATAGATAGATAGATAGATAGATAGATAGATAGATAGATAGATAGATAGATGGATGGATGGATGGATGGATAGATAGATAGATAGATAGATAGATAGATAGATAGATAGATAGATAGATAGATAGATAGATAGATAGATAGATAGATAGATAGATAGATAGATAGATAGATAGATAGATAGATAGATAGATAGATAGATAGATAGATAGATAGATAGATAGATAGATAGATAGATAGATAGATAGATAGATAGATAGATAGATAGATAGATAGATAGATAGATAGATAGATAGATAGATAGATAGATAGATAGATAGATAGATAGATAGATAGATAGATAGATAGATAGATAGATAGATAGATAGATAGATAGATAGATAGATACATACATAGTTTAGTTCAAGTTCGGTTCTAATTCAGTTCTAGTTCAGTTCTAGTTCGGTTCTAGTTCAGTTATAGTTCAGTTCTAGTTCAGTTGTAGTTCAGCTTTAGTTCAGTTCTAGTTCAGTTCTAGTTTAGTTCTAGTTTAATTCTAGTTTAATTCTAGTTCAGTTCTAGTTCAATATAGTTCTAGTACAGTTCTAGTTTAGTTCTAGTTCAGTTCTAGTTCAGTTCTAGTTCAGTTCTAGTTCAGTTCTAGTTCAGTTCTAGTTCAGTTCTAGTTCAGTTCTAGTTCAGTTTTAGTTCAGTTCTAGTTCAGTTCTAGTTCAGTTCTAGTTCAGTTCTAGTCAGTTCTAGTTCAGTTCTAGTTCAGTTCTAGTTCAGTTCTAGTTCAGTTCTAGTTCAGTTCTAGTTCAGTTCTAGTTCAGTTCTAGTTCAGTTCTAGTTCAGTTCTAGTTCAGTTCTAGTTCAGTTCTAGTTCAGTTCTAGTTCAGTTCTAGTTCAGTTCTAGTTCAGTTCTAGTTCAGTTCTAGTTCAGTTCTAGTTCAGTTCTAGTTCAGTTCTAGTTCAGTTCTAGTTCTAGTTCAGTTCTAGTTCAGTTCTAGTTCAGTTCTAGTTCAGTTCTAGTTCAGTTCTAGTTCAGTTCTAGTTCAGTTCTAGTTCAGTTCTAGTTCAGTTCTAGTTCAGTTCTAGTTCAGTTCTAGTTCAGTTCTAGTTCAGTTCTAGTTCAGTTCTAGTTCAGTTCTAGTTCAGTTCTAGTTCAGTTCTAGTTCAGTTCTAGTTCAGTTCTAGTTCAGTTCTAGTTCAGTTCTAGTTCAGTTCTAGTTCAGTTCTAGTTCAGTTCTAGTTCAGTTCTAGTTCAGTTCTAGTTCTAGTTCA